ACCGGCAGGTCGCCAATGGAGTCTTCCCGCGCACCTCGCCTGCGTGGCCGAGCCACCTCGAAGTCCCCCGAACAGTTTTTTCTGGCGTGAACGCAATGGGCGTACCCATGGGGGCGGCGCCCTGACCAGTCATGTCGAGGGCGACGCCCATGCGTGCGCCATGTGCAGTGATAGCGAGCCTGAACAGTTCTTCCGTTCGGGCCCGAACGCCGTCGCACACCGAGCAGTTCTCAGGAGGCGGAAAAAGACTCAGACACAAATAAACGTGGACTCCCAGGAACATATGGGAAACTATAGGAAAACATCGGAAGTGGAGGGGACGACGAACTTCCAGGAAATATGACAACTCATGGAGAATCCTGGGATATTGTATCCATTTCTTTTGTGTGTGTCCCTGGGCCTCGAGAGGCAACCACAGGGGCATCAGTCAAGGCCCCGACTCCTTTAACCGGCGTTCAGTAAACAGCCTTGGGCGTTTATTGAGCAGCCCTGGCCTGTTCGATCCCTCCCTGAGGTGCGCTCACTACAGGCATTCGCTCGCCGGGGTGCTCATGATGAGGGTTGTTCTTCTGCCCTCTAGTCAGGCGTGCTTTGCGCAGTCGGTGAGGAAAATGCAAAAGACCTCAACCCCGAATGTTGCCCCTCGGCTTTCGCGCCGTAGCCTGTGTCTCCGGCGGCCGTTCGGGACCACCCGGGCACCCCCGAGATGCCCTCGGCGAGGCGCGGCTGCTGCACGGCGCGCCTCGATGCCGAACGGCCGCCGCCTCGGCCCTCGAGCCTCGGGCTTCAGTCCTCGGTCCGCCGAGGCCGCTGTCTTTGATCCTGGGTCCTCGGACCCCCCAGACCAGGCTGAGCAGGACGAGGCCGACTCGGCCTCCGAGGCGCGCAGCGGGAGCCGCCAGGGCTCCGGGGACGCCGGGGACGCCGCCACGCGGGAGGCCAGGCAGAGCATCGCGCAGAGCAGGAGCGCCAAGCTTGCGGGGGGCCGCCCCATTCTCTCCCTCCGCCTGCCCCTCCCCCTCCCTTTCCTTCTCCTTCTACCCCATCCTCCTCCTCATCCTCCTCCTCCTCCTCCTCATCATCATCATCATCATTCATACATCATACATCATACATCATCCATCATCATCATCGTCATCATCATCATCAGCAGCAGCAGCAGCATCATCATCATCATCATCATCATCATCATCATCATCATCCATCCTTTCTCTGTCTTGTAAATATTATCCCCCCTCGCACACCAGACTTGTCTGTAGGGCGGGCCAGGCGTTGCATCTGATATGTCCTGACCATTCATGACACTGAAGTTAAAAAACTTGGCAACAGGTTCACATATGGACGGTGTGCGGTTTTCAAAATGTGGCTCTTGCCTTGGCGCCGCGCATATTCGTTCTAACATTTGCAAGGGCTTCACGAAGTGAGGGTGGCTCCTTTTCAACAAGTGGCTCTCGCCTTCGCGCCACGCACACTCCTTCTCAACATTTGCAAGAGTTTCGCGGGTTCCCATGGTTAACGTACCAGAAATCGTATTCTGTAGAGATTCAGTTTGAGGGTTCAACAGTTACGTTGGTTCGCGGCTTTGAAGTCCCAGTATTGGCGTTCTGGCACGATTCAGGATCGTCAAGACGCAGTAGTCAGGTTCATCTGTGGCGTTGGAATCCCGAAAATCATGTTTTGGATTGCGTCAGAGTCTTCAAACGGATGTCTTCCAACGAGGAAGCTTCCTCAGTGGAAATGGACCCTCGTATGGGGCCTGGGAAGAGGGGCTTGGAGTGAGGGTTTATTCCAACACCGTTGATGAGTCTTGGCTTTGCACTGGTCCTCTTTCTCCCCCTCCAAGCCGCGCGGCCCAGGAGTTGATGTCTCTGCGGCTGCACGGCGAGCCGCGAGGCGAAGACCCCCTGACTTCGAAACCAGGGCCTCCGCTCGCCCGGTAACGAGCTCAGTTTCTCCATTCTACATCCGATGCAATTTTGCTTATCACTCTCACGGTGCTGCCGCTGTTCCTGGTGGGGCTTCGTGGGGGCTTTCACAAGGGCAGCAGCACAGAAGTCCAGGACGTATTCATTAAGAGCAGATTGTGATCACAGGTTTGCGGGTTGTGTCCATGCGAGTATTGCGCTGGAGTCCACTGTCGGTATCGCATCGAGATACATAGCTGGAAATTCAATACGCCTTCTCAGAGATTGGCATATTGGCTCTTGTTCGCTCACATCGCAAATGCTCATTGAGCTTGCCATACCGTGCTGAATATATTGCTGGTTCCAACTTGGTACGTTGCGGGTGGCACACCAAGGGCGATGTACTAACAGTTCATGCGTTTTTTGTACACGTTACGGTGCGGGCGAGGGGTGTGGTTTGTATCTGCACGGGGCCTGCCGACATCGGAGGGGTGCCAGCGGCGATCAAAGTGAATTCTTTCTGCGGGGATTCTCAGTGATTGCAGTGTGCCATCATCCCGTATATGGTGGCCCTAGAGAGCAGGAGCAGCTGGCGATTGCCAACAAAGTCAATGATTTTAGCCAGAGTGTTCGTTCGTCGTTTTCGTGTCGTGCCTTTCCGCTGGCGGCCTCTGACGTCAACGACGGCGTGGGCCTCGCAACGGGCAGGCATGGCGTGGTGCAGGTCGATTATAATTATGTGGCGCCCCTCGGCAGGGCAATCGAACGTTGGGCGGGCTTCTCGATGCGCGAGATGACGGAAACGTTAGAGCTTTCATTTTTCCGCTTTCTGTCAGTGGTGGCCCCAGTTACTATGGCAATCCGCAAATACACAAGAGGGAGACTCGAGAGCCAGACAGTTGCGGAACCGCGGGTGCGTTCCATGCCCAACGAACCGCGGGTGCGTTCCGTTGCGAGCTCAAGTGCTCCCTGCTCCCCGGGAGGGGGACGCGGCTCAACGTCGCCAAATGTTTTGCCACCCTCGAATATCATTCAGCAGTGACCGGGGGTGATCAACCGTGTGTTGATGCCCCCGCGCGCGCGCCTCTGGTTCGGCGGTTTGATCGAGAATATCAGTCGGGCCGGCTTCTGCAAGCGATCCCTGATAGCCGGCTCCGAGGTCGCATCCCGTGCATCTTGGAGTTCGTACATTCTGGATATTTTTTCGATGATTTTGTCATGAGGGGTGCTGAAGATAGAGTTTTGTTGGGCTACGCTGGCCTGAACCAGGTATTGTGGAGTCAAGCCAGTGATTTTAGGCAGTCGGTGGAGCTGGAACTCCCAGGATTCGCCGTCGCTCCGGGCGAGTTGGTCACGCTCGCTCTGAGTAGCGGATTCCTTCGAGGCAAATCCCAGGGCCCCTACCAGCCCCTTGCCAGCCCCTGATTCAGGAGCGAGTTCGGCCACTCGTGCTTCGTGGTCGAGCGCGTGCTGGGGTTGCTGACGATCTCGATGATGCGCGCCATTTGCGTCGAGATCTCTGCCGTCGCCTTGGGGGGCTGTGAGAGTCACGACTAACAGAGAAGCTTGCTGAGGCTCAGGCTCAGGAGCTTGCTTCCGAGGATCGAAGGATCCGCGGGCTCGTGGCTGAGGCTGCTGTGGGGCCTGGGAGTCGCCGGTCTGGGTGCGTTGCTGAGCGCGCCCCGAGCATGCGGGAGCGGGCGCAGGGTCTCGCGACGCCGTCGAGTCAGGGGGGGGGCGTCGGCCGCGCCCGTTGATGAGGGGCTGTCTCTGAGAGATGCTTCGGAATCTGACTCGGGCACCTGTTCCGCCGGGGGTCGACGAGACCTTGAACGGCTGGCTGAAGGTTTTCGTGCTGCTCGACGCCGTCGCGCGGCTGCGTCGCGGGGCCTGCCGAGAGATGCGCGGCCCCTCCATGTTCCGCGGGCCCGTGTTCGCGCTGCTGTTTTCTGGCGCCGCCCCTTCAGGGCCGCTGGGATTTCTGTCGGGGGGGTGCGATGTTATTATTCTAGCGCAGGTACGTCGACGCGGCTTGTCTCGTCGCCCGATGGGATCAGTTGTTCATATTAACTGCGTGAGCAGAATACTAGGCATCGCGCCGCGAGGGCGCGGTTGCCGCGCGGGCTGCGCCCCCTCGGCAAGGTGCTGGCGAAGACGGCCCAGAGGAGGGCCCACTGTCTTTCGGAATTCGTGGGGAACCGCGCGGGGGGCTCCATCGCTGTGAAATTATGCCAGGAGGCCTCCGCGCCGCCGACTCGCGCTCGGCAGCTTGCTCACCGCAGTGTTTTTCCCTGGCCGGTTGTAGGGGCACTGCGCTATTGCAGATGCCGGTGTGCTTTGGCATTTAGAATATGTGAAGATGGTGTGGGCGAGACGCATATGGTGCAGGAGTGTCTCTGTTTTCTTTGCAGTGTATCTCCATGTCGCCAGTTGAGCGAGCAGCTGAATCATCGCGACATAAACCAGAGTGACGGGGGGGCCACGATTTTTCCAACATTATGTTTTACATGGGGCGAACTGGCTCGCTCGCGTCGATGTGGGAATATCGGGCTTGTTCCCCCTGCCACTCCTTACCTTGGGGCGCTGCTCACCCCCGCGGGCTTCTGGGCTTCGGGTTGGTTTTTCTGTTTAGATGTGCTGCCGTCGTCCGCGGCTGGGCTGGCGCGCTGGGCTCCCGGGCCCTGTGCGCCTTTTGGAGGTCCCGAATTGCGATTCGCAGCTCTTTGAGTGGCGTTGCAGTCTCGGGGCTCACCGCCGTGATCGCTATTGAGTCCCAGGATGCCCGTCTGGGTTCGACTTGCTTGAAGTGCTTGGAGGTGCTCATCTGAGGGGTCGCTGTCCATGCCCCCCTGTGGATGACGATGGTCTGGGGCGAGTCGCGGCGAGGGTGCCTCCCGCGATCCATGTCTGGAGGCGCGCGGGTCCCTTGCCCTCTTCTCTTGGGCTTCAGGTCCAACGCCTGAGAGGCCGGCGAAAGGTTGCCTGCCGCAGCTGGCTGCCGTCTTCGGGCCCCTGGATTTTGAGGCTTCGGCGATGTCGCTATTCGGGCGGCGCCCGAAGGGCCTGATCAGACCTCGGGGCGCCCCGAAAACCAATCCTCGGGCGCTTGATTTCTCGATCGCCCAGAGTATCTTGGGCGCGTTGAGGAGGGGGGGCACGCGACGAAGGGGCGGCTGTTTGAATGTCATCCGCGGGGGCGCGGATGCCTCGCTTGCATTTCGCATCTGGACGTTCGACAACGGCGGGCCGCGTGGCTCCCGCGCGAGGTTGCCTCCCAAGATGCCCCTCTTGAACCGGGTGGGGCTACTGGGGCGGTTTTTCGGGGTGCGTTGCTCGTTGAGGATTGTCTCTCTGGCGACCGCGTGTTCTGCCCGCGTCGCTCGCCCCTCGTTCGTCGACGTCAGGCTTCTGGTGGCCAGATTGGGCACCGTCTGTGGTGTCGGGGCTTGTGGTCGCCGGTTAGTTCGTTGCGCGCTCGTCGACGTCTCGCTGCCGCGACGCTGCCGCGCGTCGAGTGCCCGTCGATGCGGTCGGCGCCGCGTGGGCTCGTCGGAGCACGTTCCCCCGGTTGTGAACCCCGAGGCTCGAATGCGCCCCGGCTCGTGAACCCGCTGAGCTACTCGAGCAGTTGCAGGGGCACTTTGCGGCTCACCTCCCTTAGGTTCGCAAGCATGGAGACTTGCTTCGGCGCCCTAACTTGTCTTTTTCTTCGGTTAGTGTGCGATAGCGTTGGTTAGTGTGCTGAAAAGTCTTTCCCCCTCCTCCCTCCCCCGCGCCCTCCCTCCCATCCACTCCTTATCCCGCCTTCCCCGCTCCCTGCCCATATGTCTTCTGACGGAGTTGGCCCATCACTGAAGCCCCCCTCCATCTCTGAAGCCCTAAGCCCTCCCAGCAATCCCTGGGCTTCCATTTTCCATACGCCTGCCCGCGTTCCTGCGCCCCCCCCCCCGCGGGTCGCAACTCGCTTCGAGCTCCCGCTGAGTTCCCGCTGCGTTCCCCTACGCCCCCCTACGCCCTCCTGCGGTCTTCTGCGCTCCCCTCCCCCTGAGCCTCTGTTGCGACCCCCATGCGCCCCCCCATATGCCCCCCTGTGTTCCCCTTACGCCCCCCTACGGCCCCCTACGGCCCCCTACGCCCCCCAGCTCTCAGCGCAGCGCACATTCGTCTTAATAGCTTGCAGCAGTTACAAGGATGGAGGGCGGCTCCGTTTTTTCAAACATGGGCTCTCGCTTGAGATTGCTTCATAACTCAAAACCGAACGTTAGAACATGCGCAACGGGTGCACATATGGAGGACACATCCTTTTTCAAAGTGGGGCTGACTTCCGCAGAATCCAGGCCCATAAGTTATGCGGTCTGCGGCGCTCCCCCGCGTGCTCCTCGCGCGCCCCGTCCGTGATCTCTGAGCGCTCCCCCTACGCCCCCCTACGGGTGCCAGCGCCGTGCCGATGTCTTGTGCGATCCGCGCCTTCCGTACGCCTTTTTGGCTCGAGATCTGCGCCGAGGTTCAAGTCCCAGGTCGCGTCCATGAGCTTGGCATTGCAAGCGAAGCACTTGCGCGCTCAGACGGCGGCCTTCCTCGTGGAGCTTGAACGCAGCCGAGGTTTCCCTGAGGTCGCCCAGGCATGCACAGAATTGCAGAGTGCTTTGGATGGAGCTTTCGATATAGAGGCAGCGGGGCGGCGCCTTCCGAAACCCCGCCGCCGCGGTGTTTCAGAGCGGGCGCAGCCAGAGCGATTGAAACGCAAAGTCAGAGATCTGCGCAAGGAGAAGCGCGAGGCCAAAGAGAAGGCCACCAATGAGAATCCAGCGCGGGGACTGGCGAATAGGGTGGCCAACGTTTGGCACGTGCGCACGATGCTGGCCGATACTTACATTTCAGCCGAGGTGTTGGCTGACGTTTGTCGGCAGTTCACTGTGGAAGAAAATTCATCGATCAGCGCTTCGCAGGTCGGGAGGGTCCGCGACGCTGGGGCCGAGATATTAAAGGACATGCTGGGCGACGCTTTGGCCAAGCGGATGGCTGGTGCGATCGCCGAGGCTCGCCTTGTGGGCCATGCGCTCCCAACTGTGTACTTGGTCCATGTGCACGATGGTGCAGATTTGCGTCTGCGTTCTCAGTCTGCAGCGCAGCTGGGGGATGTGCACATGGCGCTCCCGCGCAGCTCTTTGCGCATGTCACGAAGCCGGAGCTCTTCCGTGCAGAACCACTGCTTGAAGATTTCGTTTGCGGGCGAAACGTATCCGTGGTTTACGGACCTTCATGCTTTGGAGAACAAATCGGCTGCGAGCATTGCGACCAGTGTGATACGGGTCGTGTCTGCCGCTGTGTCGGCGCTCCTCCGAGATTCGGCGGTGCTCCTCGGCGGGCGGCAGGTTCGCTTCGTGCACCTGTGCACCGCGGACGCTGCTTTCGCCAACGAGGCAGCGATGCGGATCGTGGCTCTTTTCTTTATGCAGGATTTCGAGCTGGCCAATCGCATCACGTACAGGTTGATTTTATACCGGTGTGCGTCTCACAAGGTGAACTTGGCCGTTCAGTTTGCAATATGCCGCCAGAGACTTCGGAACCCCATGCGCTCGCATCGTCTGTGCTGCAACGCAGTTCGGCTGTTCAAGTATCTCACGCCGCCTTACGCCGACCACTTCGGCATGCAATTGCGGGACCACATCATTAGGGGCTTCGAGATTTTCGAGCGCGCCGCACTGCCTGATGACCAGCGGCCAGACTATGGGCTGCGGCGTTTGTACGGCGACGACGTCATCACGCCGGAGATCGCCAAGTTGCTGAACGTGGATTTCCGCCGTTTGGAAATGGCGTGCCCGCCGGGGGCGGAGTTGCGCGAGATGCGCGGCCTGCTGTATTCTGAGTTGTATAGATCGATAATTCGGGTGGAGAACCACCCCGTGATCACGCGATTTTTCTTGTTCACAGATTGCGCCTTTGCCATTCTGCGAGCTCAACGGTTGCAGATTCCGTCCTCTGTCTTCTCACTGCACATGGCGAACTTGCGGGGGAAGGGCCAGAAGCGGATCACCGGGTTCCGCGAGTATTACGACAACGAGGCCGACCGCTTGGATTTGAAGAGAGCGTGCCTGAACTTACGACTCACGAAAGTTGCCAACGTCACGTGCTCGAAGAAGCCGAAGCCAGGCGATGATCCCGTCCTGGTTCAGATAGGCCGCGGTCGCGTGCAGGCCCAGGTGACGACCGAGCTTTGTGATGTATTAGCGAACCTGCACCACGACGCGAGCCTCGACCTCACTGACACTGTCCTTTCTTTGCTCAGCACGACCGTGCACGTCTGCCTGCGTTTCGGGGATTACAACGTGTTTAATTATCTGTGGGAGATGACGCTGAAATACAATCCTGACGAATGCGTTAATGCATGCGGAGTCTTCTTACGCACTCCAGCGAGCAAATTGGGCGGCGGGTACGGCGTGCTGCTCCAGTTAGAGGCGTTGCAGTACCCCACCCTCCCAGAGCAGTTGGATTTCTTGCTGGGGGACTCCGTGCAGGAGGAGCTCGTGGATATCGTGAACCGCATGGGGCACGACTCGCTCGACGCGGAGCGCAAGAACCACCAGGACAGGCGCAGCGCCAAGAATCATAGGACTACCACCTTGGCCAGGGGTTCCCGCAATGGGATACTCCGTGAGTTCCGGACTTGGAGGCTGCGCCACCTCAGCGAGGCCGCCCAGAACAAGCGCGTTGAAAAATATTTGAAAATGGGGCCAATGGCTTGCGCTGTCCAGGAGATGCCGCATTTGATGCCGCGCGGCAGGGGCAAATTGCATTGGGAGGGTGACGTGCCCACGAGCGTCCAGAAGCAGTTGACTTTCGCTGGCGACCGCGCCGCGCTCGAGCGGTATTTAGCTGATAATCGAGAGCGCTTGGCGGCAAAGGCGGCCGCTCTGCGCGCCCGCGCCAAGGCCGCCGCCATTTCCGGGCCAGCGCTGCTGCCAGTCACGAACAAGAACTGGCTCGACTGGATGGCCGCCAACGAGGCGGTCTTCGCCGAGGCTCTGCGTTCCGCTTCGGCGAAGAGAAGAGACGCTTTCAACAGGAGGCTCGTGGCGTCAGACTTCCACAGTGAGCTCGAGCGCCTTAGCGCGCCCCTGCCTGCGCGCCCGAACTGGTCCCGTAAGTGTCGACCGAGCAAGAGCGGGCACGTCTTCCTCTTGAGATTTCCTGGCGGGCCGAACGTCGCTGTCTTGTGCGACGAGGTGGGGAATAACAGCTGGGCCGTTGAGCTGCTCCAGGTTCCTGGCGGCCCAGAGGGCGCGCTGATGCTGGACTGCAATCGCTTGGACAGGGCGTGCAAGCCCATGGGAGCCATCGTTCTCGGCGCAGGCGGGCACTGGCAGGATGCGGCTGAGCCAGAGGTGTACGCGTTGACGGTATCCGTCGACCGCGTCGACAAGGGCCGAGTATACCTGCAGGCAGTGGACCATAGCTTGATCGAGGTGGTACCGCCGCCGCCGAAGCGCTCCGGGGCGGACGATACCCCGTGCGAAGAGAGCAGTTCGGACGACGACGAGGGTGCCGCTGAGGCGTCTGATGTCGACGCCGAAACCGAGGATGAAGCCAGCTTGGTGGATGACATGGAGTCGGCGGCCGACGTGGACAGCGACGCCGTCTCTCATGGGGGTGGAGAGGAGGGCGAGGCGGAGACTGAGGGCGACGTGGATGACGCGGGCGACGCGCCCGCAGAGCCCGTGGCCGCCGGTCCAGCTGGCGCGCTGCCGGGGACACATGTGTTGTGGAACAACGGCTACTTCTACTTGAGCCACTACGGCGTCGATGCCAAGATGTACATCTGCCCGACGTGGGCGGAGGATGACCAAATGGGGCGAAAGCTGAAATCCAAGACGCAGCAACTCGCTGAGCATGGAGGACTGGATGCGACCATTTTCGCTTTGAGGGCGTGGATGATATATCGTAGTCAGCAGAACGACTGGCATCGCCGTTGCCCTGCTCGGCTAGCTTGGCATCGTGGCGAGGTCGCGGCGCTACGTCGCGACATTCAGGGGTGGGACCTGCGGGCAGCCACGCGCAATAGACTGCGCGACTGGGCGCCCGAGGTGCTCGCATGAAGCGGACGAGGCCGCTGCCAGAAAAACGCGCGTCTCCTCCCCTCCCCTCCTTATCCTCTTCCTCCTCCGTTTATTTCCGCCCGTCCTCGGCGGCCCTCGCGTGCACTTATCCCTCCTACTCTTCCCTCTTCTGCTTCCTCGTTCGCTCGATCGCTGGGTGGCGGCCGTGACGCCTCGCTTCGCTCGGTCGCTGGGTGGAGGAGGACGACGACGAGGAGGTGGAGGAGGAAGGAGGTGGACGAGGAGGAGGAGGGCGACGACGACGAGCAGGAGGAGGAGGAGAAGGTGGAGGAGGAGGAGGAAGAGGACGAGGAGGACGAGCTCAGTTCGAGCGCAGTGGTTTGCCCGCGCTGTTTCACTGTTTGCGTTTCTTCCTCCCTTCTCCTGTCAGCTCTCCTGGGCATCGTTTCTGGATGGGCTGGTGGGGGTGCGCGAAGCGTCAAGAATTAAAGGAACCCTCCATGGATCAACAACAGCGCTGGCACCGCCTCTGCGCTGGACCCTCGTTTGGCATGGAGCCTCTCGCCCTTAATCCTAACCCTAAACCTTTACCGAGCCTTAGCGTATATATATATATATATATATATATATATATATTTCACACGCCAGGGCTTGTCGCCGCGGCTCCGCGTCTGGGCGCACCTTTTTAAAAAAGGTGCGAAGGTGAGGGGCGCGAAGATACAGCCATCCTGAGGAGTGAGCCAGGACTAGTTCGAGCGAGTGGGTCTGAGTCTGAGTTCGAGCGAGCCTGAGTGAGCCACATCGCTTGCAGCGCATAGATTGCATTGCATAGCTTACGCCATACATGCTGCGTTACATGGCTTGCACCGCATAGCTTGCACCACATCGGTTTGCACCCAAGAGGGACCCCTAATGCCCCCAAGACGGCCCTTGGATCCCAATATGGCCCAAGAGGGTCCTACCTAAGGCTGCCCAGGAGGCCCTCCAAGATGGTGCAGGACGGCTTCTATTTATCGTCCCCCTGGCGCCCCGATAAGCCGGGCAGAGGGCTCCAGAGGGTTCGAGTTGGTCCAGGAGGTCACCGTACAACGCAGGGGAGCGTCGGGGCCCATAGGTGATTGTAGCGGGGGCTGGGGGGAGCGTAGGGGAGCGTAGGGGAGCGTAGGGGAACGTAGGGGGGCGTGACGACGACGACGACGACGACGACGACGACGACGACGACGACGACGACGACGACGACGACGGACGACGACGGACGACGACGGACGACGACGACGACGACGACGGACGACGACAGACGACGACGACGACGTCGACGACGACGACGTGGGTGTATTTTTGGCAACGTAGGGGAGCGCACGGGGTCCCGGAGAGGGCTCCAGAGGGTTCGAGTTGGTCCAGGAGGTCACCGTACAACGCAGGGGAGCGTCGGGGCCCATAGGGGATTGTAGCGGGGGCTGGGGGGAGCGTAGGGGAGCGTAGGGGAACGTAGGGGACGACGACGACGACGACGACGACGACGACGACGACGACGACGACGACGACGACGACGACGACGACGACGACGACGACGACGACGACGACGACGACGACGACGACGACGACGACGACGACGACGACGACGACGACGACGTGAAATAGTGTATTTTTGGCAACGCAGGGGATCTTCGGGGCCCATATGGGACTGTAGCGGGGGCTGGGGCACGACGACGACGACGACGACGACGACGACGACGACGACGACGACGACGACGACGACGACGACGACGACGACGACGACGACGACGACGACGACGACGACGACGACGACGACGACGACGACGACGACGACGACGACGACGACGACGACGACGACGACGACGGACGACGACGGACGACGACGACGACGACGACGACGACGACGACGACGACGACGACGGACGACGACGATGTGAAATAGTGTATTTTTGGCAACGCAGGGGAGCGTACGGGGGCCGTAGGGGGCCGTAGGGGAGCGCGGGGGAGGCACGAAACGGAGGCAGTACGCGCCAAACCGACACACTATAGGACACTATTCGACACTATTCGCACACTATTCGACACTATTCGACACTATTCGCACACTATTCGACACTATTCGGGAAATTTCCGCAATAGTGTCGAATAGTGTCGAATAGTGTGCGAATAGTGTCGAATAGTGTCGAATAGTGTCCTGTAGTGTGTCGGTTTGACGCGTACTGCCTCCGTTTCGTGCCTCCCCCGCGCTCCCCTACGGCCCCCTACGGCCCCCGTGCGCTCCCCTGCGCTCTCCTTTGCAGTTGGGTCACTGCTCGCTCCAGGCCCACCTGCGTTCCCCTACGCTCCCCTACGACATAATTAATTGATATCCAGTGGCGCTGCCGCGCAATTACGCCACCGCGCTCGGGCGACCGCCTTGGGGGGGCGCCGGGGTGGGAGGAGGGGGGGGGATCTACGAAACGTTGCTCCTGGTATTTGGTACTTGAAGGCACAGCTTCTGCCTGGAAGGCCAAAACGCAGGGACTTGGTCACACTGATGAGCGCATCTTGGGCTCGATGCGTGCGGGGGGGGGGCAATTATTGTTTCGCAAGGAGCGAAACGGCCTTAGACGCCTACCGCTGCAAGCGCGGTGGCGGTTTTTTCCCACGTCCCCCGCATTGCCTCTGTCAGTAGTCGTTTTGGCTCACACAGTGCTGGCTCAAGACTTTCTCTGTGCCGCCGTGAACCATAAGTTTGTCTTTGGCTTATCCGATGGACAAGCGCCCTGCGGACCAACATGGCGATCTGCGGGCTGCCAAGAAAAGCCATCGCGCTGCGGACGTGGCGGTGCCTTTCATAACCAGCAAAGAGCAATTAACCGGTTGTACTTGGGAGCAGTTGACAAAGCTTTGTTTGGTTTACCAGGTCCCCAGGCGCGGGACAAGGAAGGAACAACTTGAACGCCTCAACGTCGCGGTTGACCAACAGGAAGCATCAGAGGCACGGGAGATTCAGGATATGAGCGCGCATGACGTCAGCTGGGACACTCAGACTGACCAAGATACAGGATATGAGCGCGCAGAACTTCCGTTCTTCGCACAGCAGATTTTCGACTTTATGCGGTCCTCGCCCGGCCCCTCGATACAAGCATGCGAAGGTGATGAAACGAGCTGGTCCTCGGGCCAAGAGCTTGTCCTCCGTCAGATCGATTCTGTAGATGAGGAGGGGGAACGCATTCTCTCGTTAGAGAGTCGGGGAGACTGCAGGGACCTGCGAGCAGCGATGTCCCTTTTGAGCATGAAAGGTTTTCACCCTACGCTTGTTATATTCCTTTTCGGGTTTCTTCACCTTTTGTATCATGGCCAGGCAATCGCCTTCATGCTGGGGCTGATGCTAAGCAGCCCGGCCATTCATCCATCGATGAGCGCCGATGAAGCGTCTTCGGCGCCCGTCGTCGAGGCGCTGCGCGAGATGTGGATGTGCACGCGCGATTTCTTTTCCAACAAGCGCATATTTCGCCGCGCATTGATCAGCATCGAGGGCCATAAGCCCACGAAGGCGACCAAGATTTGCACAAAGAACCCCATGAACTGGGTTGCTGCGCTGGATACAGATGTGCTATGGTATCGTCTATGCGATGACACACTCTCAGGCAGCTGGTACAAAGCAGCGAGGGCATTGCGTTCTTATCTCGACGGCGTCGGGCATTTCTACTACGGGCCAGCAACGCAGCGCCTGCAAGATTTCCGGATGGGCGTATACACCGGCAAAAGCGGGAGCTATAATTCCATTCACCTCCTTCGTTGCATTAGATTCGGCCTGGGCATGCCCGCTGCCGACTCGCTCACTTGCTGGGGGTTCCTCTCTACTATGGGCCTCGGGCCCAAGGCTGCCTGCAAAATTGTTTTCGGCGATTTGAAGGCCGATTTCACGTGCCGGCCCGCGTGTTCCTTGAGAGATGAGATTCGGGAACTCATTAATATTGGGAATTACGCGCTGGACGATTTGGTATGTTTCATGTGTTTGTGCAAGAGAGAGATTGCCAAGTAAGATGTAATTTGTTCTGTTCGATTATACGCGCTGCCACGCGGGATGCATCGATATGCGTATGACAAGGTCTTGCGGTATGCTTTGGGCGATCTGCGTTGCCGACGTGTTTGCCGGTATGGCCATTTGTGCTTTGTATTAAAAGCGCTTCGATGGCATATGTGCTCGCCGTGCTCCTCCGCCCCCTTCGTCGTCGCCGCCGCCGCCGTCGTCGTCGACGAGCCGGCGCTCGGGGGAGCGCGCTCGCGCTCCGACCTCGGCGGGGCTCAGGGAACAGGGAGAGTAGTATACATATGGAGTAATGATAGAGGGGGCCCCCTTCGGAACGACCGTTTACAGTCGGTTTGTCAAAAACAAAAATGAAAACCCACCTCCGGGAAATTCTGTGTGTAAACAAACAAGACGCGGGGGGGTGCCGAACATCTTCCGCACGCCATCAGGGGAATAGGGAGTGTAGTATTCGCATTGAGTACTGGTGGAGGAGGAAGAGGAGGAGGAGGGGGAAGGGTTGTGTTTTTCGTTTTTCCCGCGGGGTCCAAGAGCCTCCGCGGTCTCCCTGGAGTCAGGATTCTGGGCGATTCTGGTTTCCTGGGACGAGTGCCGGCGACCCCGCCTGGCAGTTTCGTGGAGGAGGAGGAGGAGGAGGAGGCCTGTATCGCCGTTCGGGCTCAAGGATTACTAGCGCACTCGGCAAACTCCCGACCACAAGCTACCCGGCGGCCGGGTACCCCGCGCCGCAAGCATGCCCAAGAAGGGGAAGAAGGGGAATGCCCAGGAAGAGGTGACCAAGGAGCAGCTGGACGCGGCCAAGAAGAGGGTGGAGCTCACGCCATCGAACATCCGGGCAACGAGGCGCACCCTGGACAACCTGAAGCAGCCCCACACGGAGGAGAACCAGAGACTTGTCTTGGCCGTGAAGGACATCAGTGCGGGTTTTCTGCGGCGTGGCCTGAAGGAACTCCGGGTGACCCCAGAGCAGTTTGCAATGTGGAAGACGTACTCTTCCGTGGAGATG